GGAAATGCAGATCAAAACAACAATGAGATACCACCTAACCCCAGTCAGAATGACTAAGATTAAAAAAACAAAAAATGATAAGTGCTGGTGGGGGTGTGGTGAAAGGGGAATGCTCTTATGCTGCTGGCAGGAATGTAAATTGGTCCAACCACTGTGGAGAACAATTTGGAGATTCCTCAAAAATTTACAAATAGAACTGCCATATGATCCAGCAATCCCACTCCTTGGTATCTACCCAAAGGACAGAAGAATACTTAATCAGAAAAGTGCTTGCACATCGATTTTTATTGCAGCAGTATTCACAATTGCTAAGTGATGGAACCAAACCAAATGCCCACAAACAGATGAATGGATAGAAAAACTGTGGCACATATACTCTATGGAATACTATTCAGTCATAAAAAACAACCATACCCTGGCTTTTGACAGGAAGTGGATGAATATGGAAGATTTACTGCTGAGTGAAGCAAGCCAGGCTATGAAGGATAGACATTGTATGTCCCACTTAATATACACCAAGTGTCCACACTCTTTGACTGAAACTGATTGACTAAAGGATATAGAAACACAGCATATGGATGTAGATACCAGGTATAGTGTGTGTGAAAGAGGAGGGTCTGAGGAAGGACATTTAGAAGAAAAATAGGGAGGCAAAGCACTAATGGGACAAAGAAATGTGGTATTATCTGTTGAAGATATTTTATAGTTTTATCAACTGGACTAGGGAGAAATGTTCACCTGTTGAAATATTCACTTTGTAAGCTAAACAATGTGATTGAATGTATAAAAGAAAACGAAATAAAAGAGTGAAAAAAAGGAATCAACAATAATAACAAATAATAAAACAGAACAATTACATCACTATAGCATAATAAATGTTATATACATATAGTCCCTTTCTTTCGAAATATCTTGTTCTGTGCTCACTCATCTTTAGACTGTGATTGCCCATAGGTAACCAAAACTGAAAAGTGAGTCTGCAGATAGGAGGGACTAAGTGAATGTGGTCTTACATTTCATTTCTTCAATTCTTACTTATACATGAAAGACTTTTAAAATCTATCACAAACCCAGTCTGTCTCCAGAGTTCCAAATGCATACTGGGATTTGCTTGTTTTAAGACAGGGTCTCACTGTGTTGTGGTCCTCCTGCCTCAGCCTCTCTGAGTAATTGGGATTATAGGTGTATGCCATCATGTCCAGACTTAAGGTTGGACCAGGAGTCAAACCAGAGCTTCCCATGTGGTTCTAGCCTGCACAACACATCTCAGTGACACGCATCATATGACTGAGTCCCAAATGCACGCTTTTAACAGCCACCTGACATTTCCATTGACTCTTATTTCAGATCTAAAATTGATCATGCTAAAAATTCAACACATACCCTACCATTTTATTTGCATAACACTATGCTAATCTGTTAAACACGGCATGCAGTGCAAGTTGCTTTTTTAAATTTGTGTATAAAATGCCTTATTTTCCTATCAGAGTTTTAAATTACTTGAAGCTGTAAAATATGCTGTGTTCATCTTTGTACACCTCCCAACATTTAGCTCCAAGTCTTGCACAGAGCCAGCACCAAGGAATGGTCTGCTATCAGGGTGTTGTTTCAAAGAATTCAAACCCAGCTGCATGCTGACTTACCTTCCAGCCCCAGACTCTGTCATGGCTATGGCACCAATGCATTTGCCTGCAGTCATCTGAGGAATGAAGCGTTTGATCTGCTCTTCGGAACCATAGTTTGCAATATAAGGCATGACGACATCTGAATGAAGACTAAAACCTGGGCCTGAACAATTTGAATATGCTCTTAGAAAGAAAAAAAAGAAGAAAATTTAAAGTACCATGTAGTTATTTTGCTATTTTTTTGTTTCACTGATTTCCAATTAAAAATGACTAATATATCTACAAATTATTATTATTATTGTTTTAGAGAGATTTTCACTACAGGGTGCATACACTTGCCAAAGAGACAGACAGAAGGCAAGAAATCACCCCACCCCCCCCAGGGATGATGGCCACAGTGCAATCCCTTTGGATTGTGGGCGCACACACACACACACACACACACACACACACACACACACACACATATGCCCAGTGTGAGTTTTAAGCCTCCAGGTCTGGGACTCGAACTGCAGTTAACTACGTGGGAGTCCAGGAACATAACCATTATGACATTCACTGGTTCCTCCAGAAATTATTAAAGGTCTTGTCACACTATGCAGTAATAAACTGTCTCTTCACAAAACTAAGACCTTCCTGAACAGTTTTTTTTCTCTTTTATCTAATCTTTAAATTTCTGATTTTAACATATTAATAGCTCTCTAGTAGAGCTCAGTGTACATTTATTTAATGACTTAAGAGATAAAACAATATTTATTGTTTATTTTCAGATTTTGCAAGAGAGTACATGTACTTGCCAGAAGAGAGGCAGAGAAAAAGAGAAAGAGAGAGGGAAAGTGAGAAATCACCTCCCATGGGGAATGGTCATGTCACAATCCCTTCTCCTTCATTTTTCCCTTCTTTTGGAATTTTAGGCACACATACACACATGCCCAGTGTGTTTCTTAAGCCACTGTGTCTGGGACTCAAACTGTGCAGTCACCCATGCAGGATCCAGTGTCCTTAATCACCATGCCATGGGCTGGCCTGGGATAAATATTTTTAAATGTTAGCTATCTAAGATTGTTTTACCTTGAAACAGCAACTATGTTCATTATGGTAAATTGCCTTTGTCCTTAGGGTATGTTTTAATAGAGATGGAGTTATGGAGTGAGTTTTGTAATTTGTCATTTTCTTTCTAAATTATATAACACAATAAAATCTTCTTTTACACATGGTTTCTATTATTATAACCTTAAATAACTGCAAATTGCTTATGTAGTATAATTTACTTATTCCTTCTCGCACTGCTGGACACTGAGATTGCTTCAAAATTTGGAGAATTATGATCTAATATGATGATGACTTCTGAACATAACATTTCTTTTTCTTTTCTTTCTTTTTTTTTTTTTTGGAGAGGTTTTCGCTATAGGGCACGTATGGTTGCCAGAAAGACACAGAGAGAGAGATAGAAAGCGAGAAATCACCCCCCAGGGGGATGGCCACGCCACAATCCCTTCTCCTCCATTCTCTTCTTGGGATCTCGGGCACACACGCACATGCGCCGGCGTGAGTTTAAGCCACCGGGTCCAGGACTCGAACTGTGGTGGGCTATATTGGAGTTCAGCGACATAGCCATTACGCTAACTGCTGGTCCCCTCTTTTTTTTTTTTTTTTAAGATTTTTGTTGGATGGTGTGTACAGTTGCCAGAGAGAGAGAGATAGAGATAGGGAAAGTGAGAAATCATCCCTTAGGGGTATGGTCATGCCACAATCCCTTCTCCTCCATTCTCCTCTCAAAATTTTGGGCACATACACACACACACATGTGTACCAGCATGATTTTCAAGTCCCAGGGTCCAGGACTTGAGCTGCGGAGTCAGCCATGTGGGATCTAGTGCCTTAACCAACTTGCTACCTGCTTTCCTCAGATAAATTCTCCAAAATAGAATCCTAAGTCATAGAGCAGAAACAGTTTAATTTTTTCCTATAGATTTGCCTTTTTCACCCCCTAAATAAATATTCATTGCTCTCTTTTATAACGTTCACTGCAACCTTGTTGCACTGGGCATTAGAATTTTTCATTTTTTCTAATTTTTTTGAGAGATTTTTACTATAGGGCATGTGCACTTGCTGGAGAGAGACAGAGAGAGACAGGAAGTAAGAAATTACTCTCCAGGGGGATGGCCATGTCACAGTTCCTTCTCCTCTCAGGATTTTGGGCACACATGCACACATAGCCGGGGTATTTAAGCTGCTGAGTCTGGTACTGAACTTTGGTCAACTACGTGGGAGTCCAGTGACACAACCATTACACCATCTGCTGGCCCCATTTTCTCTAATTTTGTAGCTACCCCCAAACAATAGCTAATTTGTATTTACTTAGTAGCAACAATGAACTTCTTCCAGTTTTAAAAAAATTCGTATTTCTTTTGTGATGAACTGTTGCTTCTAATTTTTTGCCAATTTGTCAGCTCAAATCTTTATTTTTTCTTACATATTAAACTTTGAGTATATTTAATAGATAATTTTTTCTACTCTGTGTCTTCTTTCAAATATCTCTTTAAAATGGATAATAAAAAAAACTATAATGGGTCATCCAGAAATGAAGCTATCTCTTTAGTTTTCAACAATACTAATTTCAACAACTTTAAAGGGATTTCCTTATCTTCCTATGTTCAAAAAAATGTGCAAGAGTCTATGGATTAAATAATTTCAAATATTTCCATACTTACTGTTCTTCCCAAACAATAGCTGTTGAGTACAAGTCCCCACCAATACCCCCATGTGACTCTGCAATATTGATACCAAGCAGTCCTTGTTTTCCAGCTTTTTCCCAAAGCTCCCTACTCACTTCTCCAGCTTTCTCCCATCTGCAAAAAATAAATATTTCAAAATCATTGTCATGGTTTTAATTTTATTTAAATGATTTTGTACAATGCACCCTTGCCCACACCCTGCTATTCATACCTGACTCTGATCATTTTTGTCCTTTTTCTCTTCCCTACTTAATTATTTTTTTGAGAGATTTTTTTCTATAGGGTTCATGTGCTCACCAGAGAGACAGAAAGTGAGAAATCATCCACCAGGAGGGATAGCCACCCCACAATCGTTTTTCCTCCATTCTCCTCTCAGGATTTTTGGGCACACACACACACACACCCGGCATGAGTTCGAAGCCACCAGGTCCAGGACTTGAACTGTGGTTGACTAAGTGGGAGTCTTGTGATGTAACCATTATGCCATCTGCTCGTCCCTCTTTCTTACATCCTATTTGCCACTTTCTCTGTCTCTTCTCTATTTATTGGATTTGAAAAGTACAATCACTGATATTCATGGATGTAGTTTCACATAGTGGGTGCTCTTAAGGTGCGAGCTTAGTTGTAACATGTAGTCATGAATTGTCACCACCCTACCTGCCAAAGCAATTCCCTGCTATTTCGTTAGAGTGCTATGTTTATGGGACAATTGTATCAAAGGGCAGGCAACCTCAGGTTAAATAGGAATGACAGGAGGGCAGAAGCATGTTGTAGTATAGCTCTGTCAAATGCGCTTCTGAAAATTAGATGTTTGAGTAAGGCCATATGACCTTGGCTTTTCTGTTTTAAAAATTAGAATGGCATGATGAAGAAACAGATGGCTCGTTTGGCGATAGTGAAAGAATCTGAGAATTTATGTATGTGTTTTTTTTTTGGGGGGGTTGGAGAGTTTTTTTCTATAAGGCACATGCGCTTGCAAGAAAGAGAGAGAGAGAGAGAAAGAAAGAAAGAAATCACCCCCCAGGGGAGATGGCCATGCCACAATGCCTTCTCCTCCATTCTCCTCTCGGGATCCTGGGCACGCACACACATGTGCTTGGCATGAGTTTAAGTTACTGGGTCCAGGACTTGAACTGTGGTCGACTACATGGTAGTCCAGCGACATAGCCATTATGTTAACTGCTGGTCCTTGTATGTGTGTTTAAGTGGTAAAATATGAGGCTTTTGAAGCTATTGGTTGAAGATAGATATAGGCACTTCAAGACATTTATTAAAAAAAAAAAAGTTTGGTTAACATGTGTTTTGATGTAGTTACTCCCCAAAGTAGCTTTGAAAACATTTTAGAATACAGAATTCTCAGAAATAGTCTTTATCATACATTTAATGTACAATACATTAAAGAAAATGTGCCACTTACTCTGAGTGATAAGGAATCACTTCTTCTTGAAAAAATTTCCTTACACTTTTCCGGAAAATGTCATGATCTGAAGAAAATATTCTTCTAGTTCCTATATCTGTTAATTTTTTAGCAGAAGAAGTTTCTAGACGTTCTTCCCCTCTAGAATGAGAACATCTTAAAAAAAAAAGTATATGCATGAAGAAAATTAAATTAATCATTACTCATATATTAAAATTGGTGCCACTGAATAATATAGAACATTATTTCTTTTCTAATGACAACTTAGAGGCAAGCAGAGTTTAAAATATGACAAACAATATTAAAATATTAATATCAAATTTGATAGGACCAACCCCACGTACTTGAAATTAAGAAATAGTTTATCATTATTCAACTTACTCTCTACCTCCAAGTCAACAAAAATGACAGCACCAAGAACTAACCACAGATTTGAGCTGAGATGAAATACAGTGATGTCACATGGTAAATAAATTGAATTCTGTAAAATTCAAATACAACATTCAATACAACAGAAAAATACTAACTTTTATGTCATGTATGAGTTCCTGGACCCACAGCTATGGCTATGGCACAGGAATGAGTTCCTATCAGGGTTTGAGTCCCTGGGAAGACAGATTTTAAGTCCCTGGAAAAATCAGGGTTTAAGCCCCTGGGTATCTTAGGATTTTTGTATGGGTTTCTTTTGTTTCTTCTGCCATTTTAATGATTTCCTCTGCATCCACTTGAAAAACACTACTTGGTTCTATCCCTTCTCCTCCTCACTTGAGGATATCAAGTAATAGAATATTAATCAAGGAGTTCTTCAAGAACTGATGATCGCTACAGTCATAGTACCATTGCTGAAATTTGCCTTGTGACCATAGAAGGTGTGAGTAGGCAAGAGGGTCCTGGAATGCCCCAGGGTACATCCTGACCAAAGAGCATACTTGCCTTTTTGGAAACCACGAAAGGTTGGAACAGCTGTTTTAAAGTCCCTTAGGATGCACGATTAAGCATTTCAATGAGGTATTTGTGGAAAGTTGTGATTATGGTATCAAACTCTCCATCCCCAAACTGAGAGGGCCTTTTAAAAACATCACACTTAAATGGGGTAGAAATATCAAAAATACTTGTGTTATAAAAACACTAACGGTATAGGCAACAAAATGTTAAAACCCACCTTCCTTGAGTGTATAATTAAAGATTTCAAGAAAGGGGGTTACTCTAAAGAGTATAAATGTCAAAGTAACCTCAGGGAAGTTGGCTCTTATAGTCCTGTTCAATTTAGTTTATAAAAAGAGTGCTCATACAAATTAGTTTAAATGCTTTTTAAGTTCATATAACTTTAGTGAATGAGCAGCCTTCAAGTGTGATGAAAGAAAAAGATTAATAAGTGAAAGTCTTCACAACTTCCAATATATATTTTGTCTAGGTTTTTATCGATCAAGCAACATCATGTTTATCTTAATATGTTTGGTTTAATAAAACAGCTAGTATTTATGTGTTGTGTGTTGCATTTTACATAGTAGATATCTAATAGGGAAATGAATTCATGACCAGCTTTTTCTGGCTTTAGTTGTAGTGCTAACAAAGGATCTCTGACCTCAGAGTAACTCTGGGGTGTTTACATAGGACTCCTGAAACATCGAAAAGGGAGATGTTAAACCAGTCAGGCTTGTTTATATGTTGGATAAAAATGGAAAACATTGTCAAATTAAGTAATTCTCATTTTCTTGATATATTTGAGATATATGTATAAATGTTATGTGCTTGTATGCCTAAATATGCATTGTGTTCCAAAATAATTTGAGATTCCCAGGAGTTAATGGTAGGCTAATATGTTAAACTGGCATATATAGCCAAATTTCTTTGTCAGAGCATTAACTATGGCTAAAATACTAATGTTATGTCCTTAAGGAAATTCACAAAGAAGATGAAAAGAAAATTTACTCTTACAAGTACAGGTTTCTAAAAACATGTAATAATTTAACTGGGTAAAATCTTCATTTTCTATGTAAATTGATTGGTTTTCTAAACTGTTAAGCCAAAATTGACCAAAGAAAAATAAAAAAAGGTTGACAAAATTACATACTAAGTAGCCGATGCAATGCACCTGAATTAAAGAGGTAAAATTGGTGTAAAGGGATATAAATCCAATGTTAAACATGGACTCATGGAAACATTATTGCCTGGTTCCCTCTGAGTTTTCCTTATAATTCTTGTTGTTAAGCTAACATGCTTTAGTTATTCCTATTATTGGTCTTCAAATTTTATAAAAAATATTAAAAGGGTCTGTTAGTAAGATTGTTCAGTTTTACATAGGAAAGTTGTTAAATTTTGTTATTGTTTGTACATGTTCATAAGCTGCTAGTATATGCTAAAATTTAGGGTTGCCAAAAATCAAAAATTTGCTCAATATAGATGTATGACAAGCTTAAGAGCTCCTTTAAAACATCAAATTTCCCAAGGCAAAATAAAAAAGGTAAATATGCATGGTTGTTAGAAACTGGGCCTATCTATCTGGAACAAAAGCTAGAAGACTACTGTCTAACAGCTTAATAGGGTAAGAGTCTCAAGGAATGGGGTGAAACAAGTTAAGGCTAGAGCTCCAGACTGCCTTGTCTCCCCAGCCCCTTGCCTTTTTGTACTTCTATTTCTTTTAGGCCTCTCCCCCACTGGACTCTCCCTTTAGTTAAATAATCAAGAAAGAGGTTTAGCTAGAAAAACATTTAGATTGAGACTACATTCTCCAGCTAGAGCTTTTTGTATAAGTGATAAGGGAGATGCCTTGTAAAAACCTGTAAACTGGACTCTGCCCTCCTGAGAGTACTCAGCCTCCTTGCAGAATCTATCAAAACTTAGATTCACTCCTCAGTGTAGGGACAATTCATAACAAATATCAGAAAAGTTTCCAAATAACTCAGAGAAGTGTTATAACAAAATTGGCAAGGCACCTTAACCTTTAACTCTCACCCAGTAGTCACTCATGATAATCCTGAAGGCTGGGAACTACTCCAAAGGCAGGATCTGGAAACAGCCCAGATCAGAGCCTCTGCCTCAGAAGAAACTCTGTTTCCAATGTGGGCAGCTTGGGCACTGAGCAATGCCCATGACTGGAATCCTCATGTCCTCCATTGGGGCCTTGTCCCCAATGTGGAGTTGGCAACTAGAGATGAGACAGAATGCACTGAGCTCTGAAGAGAGCTCTGGACTTCTGGAGTCTATGCTGGCCTTTGAAAATGAAGATTGATGGGACCGGAGACCCCCAACGACTCCCCTTGGACATCTGACAACTTCACTGGACAAGACTCAGGTGACCGTTAAAGTGACTAAGATTAATTTCTGTATAAATCAGAGGTTAAGGTTGTTTCCAAAAGTACACTCATTAAAAAACAAAAAGAAGAAAAATAGTAGCAAACAGGTTGGTTGACCATGTGACAAGAGAGAGAATTATAAGACCTAGCCGGAGGGGAGATATCTCTATCAGCAACTAAAAATTCTTTTGTTTTTAAAAGAATTATTTAACTTTATTTATTATTATTATCATTATTATTTTCCAGTTTGATCAGAGAGAGACAGAGAGAGAGAGAGAGAGAGAGAGAGAGAGAAAGTGAGAAAGCCAGCCACCAGATCTGAGACTTGAACTGGGGTCAGCCATGTGGGAGTCCAGCGCCTTTAACCACCATGCCACTTGCTGGCCCCCAGCAACTAAAAATTCTTGTAGCTGCCCCAGATTCTGTCCTTCTGTCCTGCCCTCCTAAACTCTGGGAGAAAAATAAAATTGTGCACATAAGCAGTAGGCTACTAGAGCCTACTAGATGATTGCTGAGGCTACTAGAGGACCCAAAAGATGATTGCTGATACCAGATCAACAGGCCAATAGTCCCTGAGACCTTTGAACAAGTCGTCATAGATCAGGTACATCAGATTACCTACTTGGAAAAAAACAAGGCTTGCTAAGCTGGTTAAGAGAAAAATACTTTGTGCCTAGTCTAGATAGCCTTATCAATGGTGTTGTTTCAAAATGTGTTTCTAATAAAAAAAGGTCAAAAGGAAAATTTTTTATACAGAAAGAATTTTGTATAGTGAGTTTTTGTCTGAAGATAGAATGGCTATATCAGAATGGGAAAAAAAAATTTTGTCTGAAAATAGAATGGCTATATCAGAATGGGAAAAAAAGGAGACAGAAACTAGAAGATGTGAAGCATGTTGTTGAATGTTTGTGTTGTGTTACAGAAGTCTAAGAAAGAGTTACAAGAATTGATCAAGTTAGAGTTCCAGAAATGGTTGTGCAATCTTTGAATGCTATATACAGTAAAACAACTAAAAGAGAGGAGCCCCTCCAACTAGTCCAGATGGGGTCTCACAAAATTGTAAAGTTAGCCTGTGAGTCTGTCACACCAAAGCCAAGAAGACTGTTTCCATGGACTCACCAGGACCTTGGTTCATAAGGATGGGCCAAGAGGGTCCTTTGTAATGGTGCTTTGGGGACCAGAGAGTGGCAGCCCTGCTCTAGTCACTCCAGAGGTTGACTGCAAGTTGGACATTATCAAGAGTGTGGCTCAGCGGCTCCATGACCAGATGGTCAGAAAAAGGATGGACTGTTGCTGACTCATGAGATGGATAAAGGCCTTTAAATGTTGGATGCTAGTTGCCTCTGGACCTAGAGCCCGAGTATACCAGGTGCTGCACTATCAAGGTGACTCTCCTTGACAGATATTTGAAGAGACTCAAAGAAAAAAGATATGATTTCTGTTTCCTGAGAAATTTTGTTGAATCCATAAGTACTTAACCAAGTGTTGTCCTGCTTCTGTAAACTGCTTGCATTGTCTCAAAAAACTCTGTGTCACAGTGATTGAACCTGGAGACTGCATATCATGAACATTGGCCCAGGCCATCCGACCAGACGTTCCTGTGCATGAGCAACTGTGCCCAACAACTAGAGACCATAGAATCAGCTCATCTCTGACTGGGACCATATAGAGCTCAATAACAGGGATCCATGATTGGCTCCACTATGTACTTGGGAAAGGGGGAAATGAAGGGCCAGAGTGACTCCATTTTGTTAAACCCACCTTGCTGAGAATCGGTGCCATTTCTAGGAGGCGAGCCGATCATGTAGGAGAAGATCATAAGACCATCACCTCACCAGGGCTGGCCAATGATAAAAAACAAAGGAAATACCAGAGACCAGAAGTAACTTTCTTGCCTATCAGTAAAAGACAACTATGCTTCTTAAAATCTATAGCCAATATGGAGCCACCTGAGTGCATTCCTCAGCACCCCTCAACCTCCCTCCCCAATAGCCAAATAAAAACCCAGCCCAACTAACGCCAGGGCTCTCAACTCTGACCCACTGTGCTAGTGAGATTGGGAGTCCTGGCTCGAGCCTGAATAAAAGCGACCCTCATGTGCTTACATCGGAATCAGCTCCTTGGTGGTCTTTTGGGAATTTGCAACCAGGGTACAACATGATAATGCTCCAATCCTTTCTCCTCCATTTCTCTTTCCTGTTGGGATGTGGGATACACATGCATATGTGCTTGTCATGTTTTTCAAACTATGGGAGTTAGGATTTGAGCTTCAACTAGCCAAAAGAGATATGCTGAGAAAGGAGGTAGACCCTTATAGGTAGGTATGGTAAGAGACCTGGAAGGAAGTCACTGTGTTTTTCTTTTAAATGGAGTCTCTGTGTTTTTCCTCTATGATCTGTTAATGTAAAATATACACCCCTTTTAAGGTATATTGTCTCCTTGTTAAGGCAGGAGATGCAGATATTGAACATACAGACAGGATAAGGCCAGGATGGAGTCACAACAGCTCAATTTCAACAGCCAAAAGCTGGCTGCACTGGGACTCGAAGCAACTGTAGCTAAGGGCAACAGAGTTCTAATTACTAACTATATTCTAATAGGAAGTACAAAAAGCCACAGTCTGCTGACCCCACAAAGAACAGGATACTAAATCACTCAGACTACCATGTAAGTATTTTCTAAAGCCCACTTCCTTATCAGAAAGCCAGCACATTGTTCAGAGTGCTAAAACAAACAAACACACACACACACACACACACACACTACTGTCTCCAGCACTTTGGCAACCTATTAGAATCCCTTCCTGCTTGAGAACTCTGTTCTTCCTTCCCTCTCTTAAACTCTGCTTTACTTTCCTCTATGTCTGCATCTCTAATTCTTCATGAGCCCTGGACAAGAACCAGCATGGGGCAACAAGCAGTTGGCGTAATGGCTACATCACTGGACTCCCATGTAACGGACTGCAGTTTGAGTCCCAGACCATGTGGCTTAAACTCACGCTGGGTGCATGTGTGTGCATGGCCAAGATCCTGAGAGGAGAACAGAGGAGAGGGGATTGTGGCATGGGCATCCCTCCTGTGTGTGTGTGTGTGTGTTTGTGTGTGTGTGTGTGTGTGTGTGTGTGTGATTTCTTGGTTTCTGTCTCTCTGTCTCTCTCTGTCTTTCTGGCCAGTGCATGCGCCCTATAGTAAAAACCTCTCAAAAAAAAAAAAAAAAAAGAAAGAAAAAAAGAAAAGAAAAAGAAGAACCAGCATGGGTATTGGGTCTGATCACCCAGCCTGTGTCCATGCCTCTCTTAACAAGTAGGTTAAGGGGCAAGCCCTCTTTATTCTTTTCATGTTTTAGTCTTTCTCTAGAAAAATCTGTTTCATGTAATTAATCAAAGAATCAAAGTAGACTTAATGGACTTTGTTATCCCAGAGCTTCTAGCTAAACATTACAACATGTTTCTAAAGTCTTTAATTATTTTTTAAAGTTACAGTAAAGCCAGTTAATAAAACTAACATTGCTTAATCAGTCTTGTTTGTTAGTATTTAAGTTATTTCAAACTTTTATTTTTTTAGAAGGGATCACTTTATTCTAGCTTGATTTACATATTTTGGTTAATGCTGTGAATGTACTGTATTTTCTCACAATTCATACGTTAAAGCCTTTACCCCATTGTGGTTTGTATTTGAAGACAGGGCTTTAGATTAAATGAGGTCAGAAAGGAAAAAGGTGGGATCTTAATCTGATTAGATTCATGGCGTTATAAGAAGAGGAGAAATTTACATTCCCACTGTTTCTCTCTTTAAGTGTGCACAAAACAAGGAAAAGCTATTTGAAGACACACTGAGAAGGTAGCAGTATGAAAGCCAGGGAGAGAACCCTCGCTAGGCACTGAATCGGCTGACATCTTGGACTTAGACTTGCCAACCTCTAGGACTGTGAGAAACAAACTTTGATTTAAGCCATTCAGTTTATGGTATTGTGTTATGGAAGCCTGAACTAATATAATTCATAAAAGTTTAATGTCACTGTTTTAGGATTATTTTTACATGCAAGTTTTTGTTGGGTGTTATTTGTGTTTTTGTTTGTTTTCGTTTTTTACAGAGGAAGATTTTTGCTATAGGTGATGTGCACTTGCCAGAGAAACAGAGACAGAAAATGGGAAATCACACTCTAGGTGGGATGGCCACACCACAATCTCTTCTCTTCCATTCTCTTCTTGGGATTTTGGACATATGTACGCACACACGCCTGGTGTGAGATTTATGCCACCAGGTCTGGGTCTTGAACTACTGTCGACTACACGGGAGTCCAGCGAAGTAACCATTACAACATCTGCTGGTCCTGAGTTGTATTTGTTAATATGATCTGAGATGCCTTTAAATTTTTTTCCTTATGCATGATAGAGTATGTGTGCATACATGTAAGTGGGGGGGGGGGGAGATGAGTTTTCCACAGAGTTTGGTCACACTGTGATCCCGTTCCTATAGTCTTCTATCTCCTCACATTTGGGCACCTGGACATGTGCCCAGTGCATTTCAGGCAGACCAAGCCAGGGATTCAAACCATGGTCAGCACATGGGATCTGAGTCTCTCGATGCCTTATTACTCATCACAGAGCTGGCTGTAAGATGCCCTTAGGGTGATAACCTTTAGTTATAAACACTTGATTTTGCCTTTTTATTTTTTTCTGACTTTATTCATCTCTTTATTTCAAGAGAGAGACAAAAAGACAGAGACAGTGACCCCCCAACAGGTTAAGCCACCCTTAACCATCAGGCCACAGAGCTGGCCCTGAATCATCATTTTTAATGACGTATTCATTCATTTAGTTAAAGAGCTACTGACTTATTCAAGTGACCTGGGGTATTAACAGTGAACAAAACAAAGATTCCTGAGTTTAAGTTTACATCCTAGCAAGGGGAGACTGAGTAATAATAACCAATAAACACGGTAAGTAAGTAAATTATAAAATACGTTAGAAGGTGATACATGCTATGGAAAGTGATAACTAGAGTGCTACCTCCATACATCAGTGGTTACAGGAGCTGGAACCCATGTTGCTGTTCAAATCCTGGCCCCAAAGGTTTGAGAAACATGCCAGGCTCAAGGGCATTTGTACTCCAAATCCTTATGGGATGGAGAAATAGAGGAGAAAAGATTTTGGCATGGCTACACTCCACTGGAGACTGCCTTTTCCCTTTCACTTTCTCTTTCCATCTCTGTCTTTGGCAAGAGTATGCACCCTCTGCCAAAAAAGTAAAATAAATAAAATAAAATAAAATATAAACTCTCAGGTCAGTTGAAGGTGATCAAGAGAATTTGCAGACAGTAGAAAATCAGAACACTTCACAGCCAGTTTGTTGGAACATCTATTATCTATCATACTCTAAAAACCAGGATACCTGTCCTGGCCATTTTTCTCCTGTTCAGTCAAGGCGCTAATTATTTTAGAAGAAAATCTCAGGTGCATTATAAACGGGAGACAGTCTCTCCCAGTACCTTGCACAGCACCTGGAACTAGGTTCATCTCAGGCCTCATCTCAGATTTACTGGATCAGAATCTGTATTTTAACAAGATCCCCAAGCGATTCATACGGACACGAAAGTTACTTAAAGGATTCGTTAGTACACCTAAAGTTAAATTTCCGGGTCTGATTTGGCCCTTGCGGGGTCCTTTCTATCCCAGATTATTGATCTTGGACACTGGGATCTGCGCAACCAGCCGCAGCAGCAGTAGTTGGCGGCGTTTCCTCTGCCCGGCGTTGGGGTGGGGGTGGGGCGGAAGGAGGGGGGTATCCTAACTCACAGCAGCTGTCCCGAACGCACATCTAACTGGGCCAAAGGTCGCGGCCCGAGCTTTTGCAGCCCGGGTGACCACCCCGACCCAGCCTCATGAAAACGCAGGCTCCTGCGTCCCAGCGCAGGCCGCGGAACGAGAGGGGCTGAGGTGAGTCCCTGAAGTGGGCGTTTGGCGAAGTCTGTCTACGCTTGCCCTGGTCCGCGGCGGGTTCGGAGGTAGCTCCTCTGACACCCCTTTCCTCCGCATGGAGGCGGATCGCAGCCAGGAGCTGGGAACCACCGTGGGGTGGGAGGTGAAGTCCATCCCCTTCTCCCACTCCCAGGGCTGGGGGACGCCCACCCCGCCCTGCGTGCGCACCGCTGCTCTCCTAGCCGCAGGAAGAGTGAGTGCCCTCATCCAACCCTGAACACTTCTGCCTTCTGGGTCGGGGCACCTGGAGCCCCTGCCTGCACTCACCTGGAAGCGGGGGGTGGGCGCCACGCACGCTGGGTGCCCAGGACGCTCAGAGACCCGCGAAGGAGGCGCGAGGCCATGGCAGGACAGCGACCGGCTGCGCGATTCCGTGGCTCCTTTGAGACTCCGTGCGGGAGAACTGTCCGCGGGGTGGTCCTACTGTGCAGTCAGGAAAAGCGCCTCTCAGCCGGCCTGATCAAGCCACTGGTTCTCCTTTTCCAAGTCCGGAACCTCGAGCCCAGGTTGCCCTAAGGGCGGGGTGTCGCCTTTTGCAATACGCCCTCTAGGAGTCATAGTCCTAGAAGTGCAAAAAACAAAACTGTTGCCTTTCCCCCAGTGTTCTTGTTGATGAAGCTTTTAACTTTCGTGGCCTCCCGAATCGCCTTGAGAAATCAATGGAAGCTATGGAGCCGCCAAATGCTCCCAAATGTATAATGCTCCACGAAATTTAATTTCATGTTATTTTGTAACACTAGAAATTGAAATACTTCACATAGGCACCCATGGTTTCAAAGAACCAGGTGGTTATTTTTCTTGCAAAAATTAGTGGCTGAGTCCTGAAAAAAATAAAATTAATCCAGTATGCAAATAAAAAAACTCAACCTTCCCGTTCTTCAATGGCACTTGACTTCGTACCTTGTCGTTTCCTTTTTGTTCAAGTTATCAATGGTGTTTAATAAATAACATTTCATCTCAGTAAAGTCTGAGCTGTTAAAATTAGTGGGAAATATCTGAAGGTTTTGAACTCTAAACAATGCACACAGTGGAATTCTAAGGCGATAAATGATCCATTAAGGCCTTTCTACTTTTATGAATTGTTACCTACCATGGACCTGACATGGTGGAAGTGAAAAAGAGACAGTTTGTGTCTGAATGTAGAAGACATCCTCTGAAATGCCATAATGTATTTTTCTGTGTTTTTCTATGCAAAAATGCATCATGAATTTTCCAATGACCCATACAGACAAAGTTATGAAAAGAAAGTTTTAATTCTAAACAATTTGAAAAAATGTGAATATTGTGAGTTGATGTGGGATGGGCCCAGTACTCCTTCAGTCTTGACACAATTCTGGACTTGCTAACCTGCCATTCCTACCTCTGTCATCTGAAGTCTGTGGCAGGGAATATACCAGCTTCATGTAACCAAACTCTTTGTCTTTCAAGGTAATAATTAGCTGCTCAAGTGTCTTGTCAGTATGTGGCAATAAAGGAGCAGTAAAGGAAACAAATAAGACATTCTTTTCTCTCTCTCTCCTCACTCTCAACACAATTGACTTCACTTCTGTCACCAAAACGCGTGGGGTTTTTCCCTCCACACACCAAGCAATTCTCCAGTGGACGCGAACCAACTGTCCTATAATTCAATTTTAGAATTGAACCCGAGAGCCCATAGGTTATGCACTCATCGTATGAAACTGGCTCCACTTCAGAAGCTGATCTTAAGTCTCATGCTGGGACAGCTGCTTCTGACTGCCTAGCTGTAAATTGGGGTTCCCATGACCACCCTTCTTTTTCCATAATGTGCTAGGTTGGATGGTCCAGAGAACTTAGAGAAACTCTATTGCTGTTTACCAGTTCATTATAAAGAATATAACTCAGGAACAGCCATATGGAAGAGGTGCATAGGACAAGGTATTTGGGGCACAGGGTAAAAAGGGGCTGCAGAACATCCATGCCTTCTCTGACCCACTACACTTCCAGACATTCCACATGTTCAGCAATCTGGGAGTTCATCAAATCTTGTTTTTATTGACTTTTTATAGCACTTAATCTCCAACGCACACCTCCAACCTTTCCTGGATGTTGGTGGTGTGAGGTTGAAAGTTTCAACCTAATAAATCCTAATGAGATGGTTTTTCTGGCGTGAAACCCATCCTGGGTTATCTAGAGTCCTCACCTCAAGTCATCTCATTAGCATGTGCTCACCTATTAGGACAAGGGGCTTATTGTGAATAATAAAATACAGTCCTATCATTCAGGAAATCACAAGGGTTTTGGGACCTCTGTGACAGGAACCAGGGAAAAATAGTAAAAATATTTCATCTTATATCACAGGAACTTTTGCCTGCATGGTCTTGCTGAGACTCTTAAAAAATGGGAATGATGATGAAAACTACTTCACAGTGCCTCAGGGTGGCCTGAGAATCATTATCAATAGTGCCTGTAGACTCAGAATATTTGGTAACAACTATACAGGAGTCTGTGCAGTTAACAAGTTACATATGTGATTCTTATGTACCTGAGGTGTGTCAGCCTGTATCCCTTCCAGAGTTATTGTAAATAACTAGCTAGTATTTCATGAAAAGTGCTCAGCGGTGGGCTGGGCACTCAGAAAGTATTAGCTGATCTAATTCTCCTCCACCTACAAATTCATGAATCTTCTCTGCCCTTTCAAGTAATGATTTTTTTTTTAAGAGAGATCTTTTGCTATAGGTGTTTGCTGGAGAGACAGGGAAAGACAGAGATACAGAATGTGAGAAATCACCTAGCAGGGAGCATGATCACAATGCAATCCCTTCTTCATTCCCCTCTCCGGATCTTGGGCACACATGCGCAGGTGCCCAGCGTGAGTTTTAAGCCACCAGGTTCAGGACTGGAACTGCAGTCATCTATGTGGGAGTCCAGCGATGTAACCATTATGCCATCTGCTGGTCCCCAAGTGATGGTCATGTTTAACAATGGCTGTTTATAATCAATTAGCAAAAATTGGAGGGTATTTTGTTGTTGTTGTTCTCATTCATTCACCAAATTGCCTCTAATAGTAATATTTCAGATCAGTTAAGAAACTCCTGATGCAGAACTATGGAGGAAATTTGAGGGATAGGTAATCCTTTCCATACTGGTGGCTGTGTTTCTAGTCTGAAGAGGGCGGCGGTGCCTGTGTAGAAGTCACAGGCAAGATTTCTTTAGAGACTTTAGGAATTACTGCCAATACAGTAAGAACTAAGGAAATAAAGTTAAGAACCCCCTTCCCCACCCCGATTGGTCCAGCAGGTGGTAGGATGGTTGGGGTGGCTGGTTCCCACAAGGCTGACTATGTGGTTTGCGGTCTAGACCTGTGGCTTGAAACTCACACAGGGCATGTGTGCATGTGTGTCTAAGATCCAGGGAGGAGAAAGGAGGAAAAGGGATTGCTGTGTTGCCTTTCCCCCTGAGGGGATGATTTCTCACTTTCCCTCTCTCTGTCTCTGTCTCTAGAGAGTGCATACATCCTATGGAAAAAAAAAAAAGAAATCTTAACTCTCCTAATTTCAGTTTAGTAATTAATGATTTATGTAGACCTAGATTTCATTACCATTACCCTTTATATAAAAAGATAGGAAAACATTGTGTAATTAGGGTGTATTTTGTTTCCTTTTATTCAAAATTTAAATGATATGTAAACCTTTTTTTCAATGTGAAAACATTACATGATTGCTTTGGATACATGATACATGCCTTTGAATTACAAGTTTTGAATGCCTTTTTGACAAATAACCTTGTTATTTTGTACTTTTATGTCTTCTCCTGAATGTGCCTCATTCTTTTCTTTTTAAAAAAGGTAAATGTTGGGTCAGCAGGTGACATGGTGGTTGAGGTGCTAGACTCCCACATGGCCAAGCATGATTCAAATCCTGGACCCGGTGGTTTGCTTTCTTATTCCCCACCTCTTTCTCTTTGGTCAAATTAAAATAAATAAATAAACAAATAAATAAATTTATTTATTATTATTTTTTAAATAATTCTTTTTTTATA